GTGACGGCTTTGCACAGGGAAAGGGCGCGATCTAACTTAGCCTCAGGACCTTGTTCTCTGGGACCAGGTCTGGGAGGGTTTCGGCTTCCATCGTCCTCAGGACGCGGGGCTGTGCTGTGCTCAACGTGTGGCAATACACGTGGACATGGCCAGCCAGGGGTTTCCCCGCGTAGAGAAAAAGGGCTCTGCTATGTACTAAAACAGTAATGATGGGCCACTTCGTAGCTCAGTGGTTAAGCTCTGCCCCCTGGGGGCTGGCTCCCACATGACTGACCACAGTTCAAATCCTAGCCCTGGTGGCTTGAGAAAACATGCCAGGCATGTGCGCGTGTGCCCAAAGTCCACGGGAAGGAGAAGTGGAGAGACAAGGATTGCGGTGTGACCGTGTCCCTTTGCGATGACCTTTCTCTCTCTTTGGAGAGCACATGTGCCTTCTGGAAAGTTTTTTAAAAATGTAAGGAAGACTTTAACTGGGATTACTACAGTAGGGGACATATGTTGGGCTCAACTCTGGATATGGAAGAGACAGTGGGGGGTTTCTCGTTAATAAGCAGAGTGAGGGGGTCAGTAGATGGGACATTGTACGAGTAGGGGGTTCTTGTTAAACTGATCTAATGGAATTCTTCCTAATTCATTAGGTCAAGGACTAATTCGTCCAAGGTCGGGATGAACTTGATGGGCATCGAGGTTGAACTGATTCTCACTGAGCTAACTTAGTAGGGTCCTTGCTAAGACTGGGCAGTGCAGGCCCTGCAAAGCCAAGCGCAGCCATGGAAGGCAAGGTCAGAGCCCCGTCAAGAAGAAGCTCAGAAGAGCATTAACGGATTTCAGCCCAGAGAGGGCCTTTCAACGAATCCTCAGTGTGTGGAGTTATGTGTTTTTTTGAAGTTTGTTCGTGTTTATTTATTTTTAAGAATTATCTAATTTAACTTTTTTTATTTACCCATTTATTTGTTTGTTTAAACTTGACCAGAGAGGGTCAGAGTGAGTGAGAGAGAAAGTGAGAAAGCAAGCCGCCAGTTCAAAGCCTAGTCAAGAAGAGGTTCAGAAGAGCATTAACAAATTTCAGCCAAGAGAAGGATCTTTTCAACCCAATCCTCACTGTGTGGAGTTTTGTATTTTTGAAGTTTGCTTGTATTTAGTTTTTATTTTTAAGAATTATCTTATTTAACTATATTTATCTATATTTTGTTGGTTTAAATTTGACCAGAGAGGGATAGAGCAAGAGTGAGAGAGGGAAAATGAGAAAGCAAGCCACCAGGTCCGGGACTTGAACCAAGGTTGGCTAGGTGGGAGTCCAGTGCCCTTAATTACCATGCCACCTGCCGGCCCCCCCAACCCTATTTATTTATATACCTGCCGACTCTCCAGTCCTATTTATTTATTTTTAAGAATTATCTTATTTAACTTTTTTATTTATCCATTTATTAGTTTGTTGGTTTAAATTTGACCAGAGAGGGACAGAGTGAGAGAGAGAGAAAGTGAGAAAGCAAGCTACCAGGTCCGGGACTTGAACCGCAGGCAGCCATGTGGGAGTCCAGTACCTTTAACTGCCATGATACCTGCCGACTCTCCAGTCCTATTTATTTATTTTTAAGGTTTTGGTCATAGGGCGTGTGTGCTTGCTGGAGAGGAGAGAGACAGAGACAGTGAGAAGGAAAGTGAGAAATCACCCCTCAGAGGGTATGGCCACACTGCAATCCCTTCTCCATTCTCTTCCAGGATTTGGGGCACACGTGCCTGGCAGGATTTTCAAGTCACTATGGGACTTAAACCATAGTAGGTCATGTGGGAGTCCAGCACCTTAACTACCATGCCATCTGCTGGCCCCCACTGTGCAGAGCTTTTGTTGGCACGTGATCACACATTGCCCTAATGACTGACCCTAGACAAGCCCCTCTTGGTGGGGCTTGCCCATAGTCTCCAGTTCCCGTGGAGCTCTGAAATGACACCATGTAGTCCACGCCCCCATCGTACATCACAGTGTTTCACGGTCTTGTGGCCAAAGCCTCCAGGCAAGCAAAGACGCTCCCATCAGGCAAGACAATCCAGGGGCCTGGGGATCACTTCCCAGGAGCTCAGGGTAGAGGGAAGCTCTCTCAGGGGATAAAATTCGTTCTTTACTACTCAGATGCTCTGAATAAGGGTTCTGTGCCCCCGTCCACTTCTCCTGTCCATCTTCAGAATTCCCTCTCTATAGATACTTTGGTAGTGACGGCTTTCACCTGCCTTTAAGCATGTTGGGCTCACATATACTCGCACCCAGCTTGATTTTCAAGCCACCAGGTCCAGGACCTTTCCTTTTATTTTCTCTTCTTCTTTCCTTTTCTCTTTTCTTTTTCTTTTCTTTTCTTTTTTAAGAGAGATTTTTGCTATTTGGTGCACGTGCTCACCAGAGAGACAGAGAAATAGAAAGCGAGAAAACAACCCCAGGGGGATGGCCACACCACAATCCCTTCTCCTCTATTCTCTCAGGATCTTGGGCATGCCTGCACAGGCACCTAGCATCATGAGTTTTAAGCTACCAGGTCCAGGACTCAACTGTGGTCAACTACATAGGAGTCCAGCAATGTAACCATTCCACCACCTCCTGGTCCCTAAAGTACATCTTAAGGTGATTATACTTATTTATTCTTATTGAATAAAAGGACGAGAAAGAAAAGAAAAAGAAAAGAGAGGAAAATAAAATAAAAAGATATACTTTAGTGACAGGCATTTGATAAAGATATCTTCTCGGGCCAGCAGGTGGTGTGGAGGTTAAGGTAGCTGGATCACACATGGCTGACTGTGTGGTTCACGTCCTGGACCTGGGGGATGGCCATGCCGCAATCCCTTCTCCTCCATCCTTCTCTTGGGATCTTGGGCACGCACGCACACACACCCCGCATGAGTTTTAAGCTGCCAGGTCCAGGACTCAACTGTGGTCTACAACATGCAAATCCAGCAATGTAACCATTATGCCATTTCCTGGTTCCTAAAATGCATCTTAAGATGATTGTACTTATTCTTATTGAATAAGCCCTATAGAGCATCTGTGATGTACAAAGCATGTTTAAGGTTGAAAGAAAAATTCTTCATAGTTGTAGACTTCCTTTCCACTGGGTCTAGAGGCAGAGCTGTGTGATTTACGCAGGACAGATCTGACCGAGCTCATCTCACAGATAAGCAAACTGCCTTCCTTCACCACGCGGCCTTTATTGTTGCAGGGATGAGGCAGATGCACTACAGGAAGTTCTGAAAGAGCTTACGACAGACATGGCTATAGCGTGCACCAGGAAGAACTGGAGGAGAGGGAGAGGTTCCTGAGCGAGTTTCCTCGGGTGAAAGCAGACCTCAAGGAGCGCATAGAAAAGCTCCGTGCCCTTGCAGACAAGGTTGACAAGGTGCACAGGGACTGCACCATCTCCAGCTTGGTGGCCAATTCCACTGGCGCTGTCTCTGGCATCCTGACCATCCTTGGCCTGGCTCTGGCACCTGTGACCGCAGGAACCAGTCTGGTGCTCTCGGCAACCGGGATGGGGCTGGGCGCGGCAGCAGCTGTGACCGGAGTTTCTACCAGCATCGTGGAGCACGTGAACACGGTGTCAGCAAACGCTGAAGCCAGCCGCCTAATGGCAACCCGCTGTGATAAGGGGCAGGTGGTCAGAGCCGTGAGGCAGAGCACAGTCAAAGTCCTCTCTTTAACCAAGAATTGCAAAGAAGTCCTGAGAGGCATGGAGAAGAACATCAATGCCATCAGGATAGCCAAAGCCAACCCTCAGTTGGTGGCCAATGCCAAGCGCCTCATGGACAGTGGGAGAATCTCAGCCCGAAGTGGTAGGCAGGTGCAGAAAGCCTTCGGAGGCACCACTCTGGCAATGACCAGAGGAGCCCGGATCACAGGTGTGGCCACCACAGGCATCTTCCTCCTGATGGATGTGGTCAGCCTCGTGAAAGAGTCCATACACCTTCATAAGGGGGCGAAGACTGAGTCAGCGGAGGGGCTGAGGCAGCAGGCTCAGGAGCTGGAGAGTAAGTTGGAGGAGCTCACCCATATCCATGACCTTCTGCAGGCGGGCCTGACCCAGTGAGCCCAGAGCTGTGCAGAGGACACGGGAGGCGTGCACTTGACAGAGGCTGGACCAAGCAGAGGCATAACAGTAGAGGGGAAAAGGTGCTCTGAGGTTTATGAGAGTGGGTGTGAAGGAGTTGGGCATTTCTGTAGCTGAGCACAGGGAGGGCGGCTAGTGCAGGTGCCACATGGTTGAAAGCAGCAAAGCTGAGACTGGAACAAGGGAGGACAAGGGACTATGTGTGGGAAACAGGAAGTAACCACTTGTTTTGAACTATGGAAGAGTCTGGGAACATGAACATGGAAGGAAGCATGCAGCAAGAAGCAGTGAGAAGGCCAGGAAAACTGAAGAGTTGGAAATGGGAGAAGACCAAAGGGTCAGAATGGTTGGAATACCGGAGGAGAAACAGCGGCCCCCCTGCCAGCCCTCCCCATGGCTTGATGTCTCAGCAAGAACGGTGCTTTCCCTGGCGGTGGATCTAGGCCTCTCTTTCCGGTACCAACTTGCCCTTGTCTCCCAGTGTTTTGTCTCAGTCAGGCAGTGACATTTTCCTTTCTTCTTTTTAAATGCCTTCAAATTTACTTATTTATTCTTTCCATGAGAGAGGCAGAGGCAGAGCGACAAGCACCCTCAATAGGTCTTCACACCGTGATTCACCCCCAATCTCAGTCAGCTCAGATCATGGCACACGAGCATGCTCAGTGTGCTTAGCGAGGTCCCGGGATATGAACCCAGGACCTTCCCCGGGTGAGTCCAGTTGCATTGTCATGGTGCCACCACCTGGCCCCAAGCAGTGACATCTTGATGAAGATGGTGATGGTGGTGGTGATGACGGCAGAGTAGGTACAGCATTTGACCGGCCCTCTTTGGGGCCAGGGTACACTGAGGGACCAACGCAGTTACAATGAAACTCCAAATGCTGTGATGGAAGAGTGGTTGATTTGGGCGAGAAAAGTGAAATGAGATGTCAGGAACAGGCTAAGGAAGCTTGCACAGTGTCAAAGAGATCAACAAGCTTTGGGCCAAGAGACACAGCTTCTCTGAGTCTCAGTTGGGACAGAGGGCGCTGGACAAGATGACGTCTTTGGTTCTGTAAATATTGACTAGTGCACTGAGTCTCTGTTATATCAATTGTTTGGCTCCCCTGGGTCTCAGAAGCCTGACTTCCCCTCCTCATGAACCTTCTTCCAGGATCTCAGAGGCAAGTGCTCCATTGCACCTCCTGCTCACCCCTAGGCTCCCACTCCCCCACCCAGTTATTGTCCTGAGACCCTGACACCCAACAGGCTCTCTGGGACACCTGGCTCTGAGCACAGACATTGCTATGGTTTGGTCAATGGGTTGCTCCCTAACAGTTCATGTTATGGAAGCTTGGTCCACAGTATAGTGGCTTTAGGGTAGTGAGACCTTTAAGAGGTGGGGCCTAGTGGGAGGGCACCATCTAATTGACTAGAAGAATGGGAGGAATAAACCAAGGAAGCAGAAAGGTTCATCTCCTCTCTCTCTCTCTTTCTGCAAATACCTACCTTTGTGCTCCTGTCAGTCACGTTGTGACACCAACCTTTTGACTTTTCAGCCACCAGAATCATGAGCCAATAAACCTCTATTTTTCATAAACTATCTAGTCTCAGGTATTTCTATTTAGCAACACAAATAAATAATTAATACAGGGGCTGACCAGTGGCGTGGAGGTTAAGGCACTGGATCCTACATTGTTGACTTTGTGGTTCAAATCTTAGACCCTGAATCTCAAAAAACATACCAGGATGTGTGCATGTGTGCCTGAAATCCTGAGGTTGGAGAGTGGAGGGAAAGGGATTGTGGCATGGCCATCCTCCCTAGGGTGTTATTTCTCAAATTCCCAGTCTTTTAGTCTCTCAATGTGTCTGTCTGTCTCTGGCATACCCTATTGCAAAACCAAAAGTGAATGCAGGCATGCTCCCCTTTTAGCAGCCAGGGCCCAGGATTGGTTCGCAGCTCACAAGGCTGATTAGGACCAGAAGGGCCAGTGTATAAGAGTGACAGAGAGACAGAGGCAGCCAGACAGCAGATTTTCTCATCCAAGCACACTCGCATTTCACCTAGATTCCTGCAAGTGCTTTTGGAAAGGTGTTCCTTACACAGTTCCCCTGACCCTGCCCATTTTCCACACTTAAGAATGTAGATTCCAGTTGGCCTTATAGTCTAGTGGCTAAAGGAGCCAGATGCCTTATGGCTGACTGTGGTTCGAATCTCAGCCCTGGCAGTTTGAGAAAACACTCCAGGTGCATGTAAGTGTCCCAAATCCAATAGGATGGAGAAATGAAGGAGTGAGGACTCCCTTTGGTGGGTATTTTCTACCCTCCAACTCTTTTCACTCCAGGATTAGCCTCTCTGTTTTTCATTGGTGAGTGTACACACCCTCTGGCAATTAAAAAATATTTTAAAAATAAAATAAAAAAGAATATAGAGTCGATCAAGCACCTGCTTCTATCTCTTCAATAGCTTCCCACTACTCTTAGCACAAAGCCCAGAAACCTTGCCACCTGATAGGCTGGGATTCCCAGAAGGCAGAGCCAGGGGCAAGATTGACTCACAGGGGGGTCATCTGGGAAGTGATTCTGAGAGCAGGACTAAGGGACTGGTAGGAGGGACACAGGGAAGGACGGAAAGTCGGTCAATGGATGTGTCCTGATTGGTCACCTCGGGGGGCGATTGAGCGTGTCAGGACCTTCAGAGAATGTCCTCGGAATCTTCCTTTCCAGGGAGGAAAGAGGAAAGCATTGCACCATTGCTCCTGACTCCCAGGGCTTCCGCATGGCATTATTTTCTGTATTTCCGTGTTGTGGACTATGCAAGCAGCATGACTGGGGTGCAGAGCCCAGGCGTAAGAGACACGGGGTGTGCAAAGTTATTCCATAAATTTTCCTAAGTCACACATGAGTGTTATCTAGTTCCAAATAAGACCTTTCATATATACAATCTAGAAGAAGTCATTGTTTTTGTTTTTTTATTTAGTGGTTTGTTTGTTTTGTTATAGGACAGGTGTGCTTACCAGAGAGACAGGAGAGAGAAAGTGAGAAATTGCTCCGTAGGGTGCATGGCCATGCCACAATTCCTTCTCCTTCAAGCTCCTCTCAGGATTCTGGGCATGCACACATACATACATACCTGGCATGATTTTCAAGCCACTGGGTCCAGAATTTGAACCCGTTTGCATGTGGGATCTTTAAGCCCACTATGCCACCTGCTGGCCTCATAAATTTGTTTTTCAATAGAGAGTTTTTCAGCTGAAAACACAAAAACCAGAATGTATTTCATGCCTTGAAGAAAAATGTCAAGATTTCAGCCAGTGTTGACTTGAAATGACCATCCAACACCAGGCCTCAGTGGTCTTTGTTCCCGTTACCCTGGCCGACAGCAGGTCCACGCAGAATGCTGGTGGGTGGTTGTGGTGGGGCATTTACTGCTGCTTTGAGCACTTTCGCAGCCTAAAAACGAGTTCCAAATATACCACCTCTCCTGAGGTCTGCAGCCACATCTTTGATATCAATTTTGGAGTTTGTTAGGAGTCTTTAGATGCAAACGAACAGCAACAAAACAGAGACAAAAAGCAAACATAAGAACAAAAACAAACACCAAATAAACAAATTTAAATCCTCTGGCTGACTCAAAATAGAAGCATTTGCTGGAATAATCCAGAGAGAGGGCTCATAGAATTAAAGAAGTACACATGTGCGCGCGCGCACACACACACACACACAAACACACACACACACACACACACACACACACCAATTTCCAAGACAGACTATGGGAAGAGCAGAGACCTGGAAAGCCTTAGGGACTTCAGCTAACCTCCAGGCATCAGCTCCATGGCCTCAGCCTCTGAGGGTTTTCAGATTTCCAAAATGAGATTCTGCCTGCCTCAAGGGGGCCTTGGAGCCATCATCCATGGTTAGGGGACAGAGTACATAAGGGACTATAGCCCAGGGAGTTTCCTCAGCTGAGAGGCTCCCTTGCCTAGGTTTTCAAGAGCTTCCTCCTTTTCCCTGTAGGGGGCAGTGGCGGAACAGGAGCTCTGGCCCCTCTGCCCTCCCTCCCTCCATCCCCTCAAGGCGAGGAGCTGTTGTCAGCTGGGCCAGCCTCTGTGGTAAACCTGCTTGTACTTTATTAGGGGGTGGGATGGCAGAGCCTTCAAAGCCCCAGACAGGCTCCCTTGGCTAGGTTTTCAAGAGCTTCCTCCTTTTCCCTGTAGGGGGCAGTGGCGGAACAGGAGCTCTGGCCCCTCTGCCCTCCCTCCCTCCATCCCCTCAAGGCGAGGAGCTGTTGTCAGCTGGGCCAGCCTCTGTGGTAAACCTGCTTGTACTTTATTAGGGGGTGGGATGGCAGAGCCTTCAAAGCCCCAGACTTCCCTTTCACTCCCCAGCTCGTGAGTGGAGAAACAGAAGAAGGCTTCTCCTCCCCATGAGGACTCCTTCTCTCTTCCACCTGGTTTCCTGTTCCGGTCCTTTACACCTGCACAGTGTCACTTCTGTACCCGCATCTGACAGCGGAGGAGGCTGGCTGGCATGCCATGTCACGTGGCCATCAGTGGTTGTCACACAGGTCCATAGGAAGGGAGGGAGTAGCCTGCCTGGCTTCCAGGCCTGGTTTTCACTCCAGGACTAATCACTAATCACAGAATTTCTGCACTGGGGTTAGGGGAGAGGAGTTCGCTGGGTATTTCCCCATCATCAGTGAGTTAGCTACTTGTAGTTCTGTCCATGTGCCTGTTGTTCTTGAATGCCTGGTGACCACAATAGAAATCCAGGAAGGGAGGAGGGGTGCCCAGCAGAATCTAAGGAGCAAAATTGCACCCAGAACCCTCTCCCCAACATATTGGAGCAAATCTGAGGCTGAGGACACACACCCCCACAGACATGACTGGGACCAAGGATCAACGTGGGGATTCCAGGGCTTCACAGTGGAGCTGCAACACCCAGGGCTGGGCCCGAGGTAGATACCTGACTACAGCGAAAAGAGAATATTCTACCCTG